GAATATTACAACCAAACTCTGACTCTTCTAATTTATATCTATATCTAAACCTAACATACTTTTCTTGTCAAAATTGTAATCTAAACTTCAAAAAAGTTACTAGTACATATACTTTCAAAATCTTAGCTACTCTGTTAACAAAATTCCTCAGTTGAAAAATATATTAAAAACTTGCTAACAAACTTAAACTTAATGCAAACTACTTAGATCTTTTATACTCAATTACACTTTGCAACTTTTCTACTATCTTTCTACTTCCAACCTTACAAATAACTTCTTCTTCAATTACTATAATTTTTAATATTAGTAAGATTACTCAACAACTTGAATCTATCTACTAGAAAAACTATAACCAACAACAATTTGTTTTTTATATAGATAAATCTGTTATCAATATCTGTACTGACTAATGCTCAATAGGTATTAGATAGATTCAAGTTTGTAATAACCAGATTTTATATATATTTTCTATACAAATTCAACTTTGATCATCTTCTTATAAAGCTGAACTAGTTTCAATTCTATCAGCTATTAGTACTTGTCTCTATAATAACTAAATTTAAATTTATACTGACTCCTTATCTATTATTCTTAAATATAACAAACTCACTAAAAAACTATTTATTTTATCTAAAATCTTTTTCTTAAAATATTATTTATTTGAGTAACTTTATTTAACTATATCAAATCTTTTAATCTTACTATTAATTTTCACAAAATACAAGTATATAATGATAATATATATAATGATAATACAAATTATCTAGCTAAACATTATTTACTCTTACCCTTTCTTGAATTTAATCATTCTAATATCTATAACCTCTATCATATATTACAGTTTGAGAACTTCTTAGCAGAGTAACCTATATAAAAACTAATTAAAAAAAATGCAATTCTCATATTATAGCTTTATGATCTTCTCAAAAGAAAATACAAAATATCTCTTCTATCTTTTAATACATTAACTAGAATACAACATGGTTTTTCTTAACAATAACTAAAAATATTTATTCAACTTTACTACCTTCTAACTTAGTTGTTAAAAATCCTTTTATATTAAAAACTTACTAAATAAACTTCTAATACTTTTTCACTTATACCAACTCTACTCAAATACTATTACACATAATAACTGTTTATCATATAGCAATCAGAAAGACTTTCAATATTAGATTTTTTGCTCAAACAAGTTATTCATCTATACTTTAATACTTTAAACAATTCTTCACTTCAACATTACTTGATCTTTCTACTCAAGCAACTCAGTAACTACATTACAAACTAACTTCTCACTTATCTCTCTAATACTAACAAACTTTCTAAAACTACTCAACAATTGAAACTACACTTCAAGAACTTATACTTTTTTCTTTTATTAAAGTACTTGCTTTATATACTAATACTTATAAAACTGTTACTAAACTTACTACTTGTTTCTTTCTTAAACTTTCTAATAATATTTACAAACAAATTTGGAAGCCTTACTGCTTAAAACTTGCTAAATGAAAAAAGCAAAACAATATTCTTAAATATCTCTAAAAAACTTCTGACTCATAATATCACTTATATACAAGCTATGTTAAAATAGACTATACATATATATATCTATATAGCCAACTTTATCAATTACATAACAATAATAGCTTATACTCTCTACTAGAATTAGTATGATATAAAATTGATATTTGGTCTACTCTGTAGGCCAAATATAGCTATTTAACTAATACAATTATTAATATTCAAATTTAGGTAAGTTTTTAATCACTCTAGTAGGTTTAGGTTGTAAATAATTAGATAGTTTACTATTTATAGTTTGAGTCTTAATTCTAACATATAAATTTGTAACTTTGAAAAACTCTTTATAGAATTTCATACAAATTTTAATAAAGATAAAGACAAAACTTTATATTAATATTAAAAAAAAAGCGTATTTAGTTATTATTCATATTATTATATTATTTTAGTATATATATTTTAAAATAGAAAAATTTATTATAAATATTCATCACTAAGTAAAGTCCTTCAAAAAACAATCATAGCAAAAAATACTTTTAAGTAACTTTGTAGCCAAGAAAATTAGCTATATAGTAATATAAATTATATTTAAAGTTATTTTATAATATCTAGAGAAAATACAAGCTATAGCTAAAAAATACTGTACTAATATTGTGCAGAATTGTACTAAAAGACTGTACTAAACTATGCTGAGTACTGTATTTTTTATCATATCAGACTATTAATAAATAATACTTATCTGTTGCTTATATAAATAATTAAATAATACTTGTATAAGATGCTTATATAATACTTTGCTAATACTTATATAATACTTGCTAAAAATTATAAATACAAATAGTTTTTCTTCTCTTATCCTTTAGTTGTTTAGACCTTAATTTTTCTTCTATTCTTTTTCTTTAAATTTTTAACCTATAGTTTGAGATAAGGTTTTGTCTTTATCTTTATTTTTATAAAATATAGTTAAGAGTTTATATAAAACTACTTGATAATAAATTATATACAAGAATTAAAACTCAGACAATAATAAAATAACTAAGACTAAAGTAAATACTAAAGCTAAAACTAAATTAGAATTATCTGTAAGAGCTATATTATTAATTATCTGATTTTTTTTTATCAGAACCTTATTTTCTTCTCTCAGATCTAATATATAACTAATTAGATTCTCTATATATAAATTCAATTTTTTTAACTTCTTCCTTCTAAAAAATCATCTGATTTTTGATAGCTTTCTAATTTAAATCTACTAGAATAGTCAAGACTTACTTAGATTTAATTAGAAAGAATTGAGTTTGTAGAAAAACTATATTTAATTCAATATATTAGCTATACAAAAAGTTTTTGTATAGCAAGTTTAGTTGATAAAATTTAGTTAAGTTAGAAAAAAAGACTATATGAGTTATATATTTTTTGAGATATATAAAAAGGTTACTAATCAAGCAATAAACCAACTCTTTCTGACGATCATCAAAACCAAAACAACAAGACACAAAAATTTATTTTTTTTGTACTACTACCTAGTAAAACTACTTAAAGTAACTGACTACGTGAGGAATAAACCACAAGGCTGCAATAAGCCAGTAGCAAGAACTGCAACAAGTCAGTTTCAAGATTATACTAGGCCCTTTGGCCATTTGACTTTGGTGGGTGACTTTAAGTTAGTTTAGTAGAAAGATATTAACAGTGAAAAAAAGAAGTATAAGAAGGACTCCAACTATACTTGTGCTAGGTCAAGCATATAACCACTCTCTTAGTTTTGTTTTTTTGAAGAACCGCTTCCTTTATTTATAACAACTAGACTTTTGGATTTGGAATTGTTTCCCTTTGTTTCTCGACGGCAAAAAGTGGAGATTTGGCTTACCTCTGCCAAAAGATCTACATTCGTACTACGTCTATTTTGGGAAAGTCACATTGTATGAGCATGAGAGAAATTCATTTTAATTGGTCATATGACAATGTCGATCAATAAAAAAAATAGCCAATCAAATTATGACAAGTTCACAAAAAATGAAAAATTTGACCAACTTCGCTCATATGATAACATTCGTAACACGTTAGATTTACTTATCATTATTCAAAATACAAGTTCTCAAGTATTTTTTATTGCGTTTAAAAACTTGGGATCGAATGGGATCGAATGTTTTGACAAGTTTTCATAATACTAACTTTTTACATTTTTTTTAACCTTACCAATCATTAACAGCATTAAGTGCCATTAAAAAAGCGTTGGGTTTCTCCATTCTCACTTCTTCTGTCGTACCGTCGTCCTGATCTGCCTCCTGTTCTTCTTTCTCCTGTTCTTGTTGTTCTTCTTTGGTAAGTGTGTTGGGGCCTTTTTCCAATCGTTTAACAAAACTTTCAACGTTATGGTAGATTCCCTTTTTAAAATATTCTCGACAATAGCAGCAGCAGTAATCTGTTGATGCATAACAGCTATAATGATAACTATGCTCACAAACGAGCACTTCACCATCACTTAAAAATTTGTGGCAGTGATCACATAAGTTGGGTTCGGGAGGAAAGTTTGAACTATAGCCCGTGGGTAGACATTTTGTATTTACAATTTCATTTATAGTAGCCAAATAGTAGTCTGATAATATTTTTTTTTTTGGTGAATCTTACTTTTTCTGAGGTTTTTATAAACTTTTTGTAGGTGATCAAGAAGGAAGAGACCCGTTTTTTCTGTTAACAAATTCAATTCTGAGGGCGTATAAGGATATTTTTTCATTTTAATAAAGGTGTTGCGCAGTTTGTCGTCACTCCGCATATCTATAATGCAAATTTAGTTAGTATTGTAAAAAAATAAGAAATAAAAAACATACCAATTAAGTATGCTTGATTTTTAATATTTTCTACTGTTGAATTTGAAGAGGTTTGTGCACGTATTCTGCTATGAAAATTCTCAACGTAATATTCGTTAAAGTTTACTAAAGAAAGTTTAAATACTTCAAAAAATGGATGGTTATTGTCTTCCCAGTAAAATATATCTGACAAAAAAGCAAGAGGTGCTTTATTGTAATTATGCCGTTGCCAACGCAACATAAATGTCCAAATACGAAATATCGTTTCTAAATATTCATTAAACGAGCCAGACCGAAAAAGAACAGCATATATTTCCAATACAGCTGGAACTAAATTATCTAAGAGATCAAAAATCATGCAGTATTCAATATCTTTACAATTCGATCCAAATTTTGCAATAATTTTTTCTCTAATTTTACACCATCCACTATATGCTAACTCTAATAATAAATTGATTCGCCACGGTTTAGGCTTCTTACTAACTTTTTTTTATTACCGAAAACATAGTGAAATAATTTTTCAAAAAAAAAATAATATTTGATAATAACCTGCTCTTGACTGTTTAGAGAAACGTGTAATGGCCCTAACAGTAGAACAAACGAACGAATTTCACAAGGAATATTACATAAAGATTTATTTAAATTTGTAACTGCTTTACAAATAAATATCTGGCCTGGCTAGTCTGCTACGATAGGTGCTACATAATTGTGTAAATGCCTAGTATTCTCATTAATTTTTAATACCATTTGAAGCGCGTCAATATAATCATGCATTGAATGTAAATTTTTTTCTTGAAATCCAATTAGTCGTATATCTTTAGTAGATCGTTCCTCCTTTCGTTCATTTATTGCATCATCGTAAACATGAACTGTTAGCAATTCTATCTTATTAAAGTTTACTTTTAGACCTTCAAACTCAGTCCACTATAACCTTCGTGTTCTATAAGAAATGTCAAAAATTCCGTTATACTGATTTATTAACCTAAAACATATATTACTTGCATCAATATTCAGTGGATTGTAAATATTTATATTATTGAAGATAAGAGGAATTAATGCGCATAATTTTGCTGGTTTACAAATACATGTTGCAAAATGCGCAGCTGTTGATAATGTTGTCGAATTAGGACGTCTTTCCTCATGAATATTGTGATAGTTGTCCAAATTATAAACATATAAAATATTGGTCTAAATAAAAAATAAATAAAAAATTAAAATATTAATTTTATTTAATATTAAAAAAAAAAAAAGAATACGATAGAATAAAAAAAATACATTGTTTATAAAAAATTTTTGAATATTTTGAGAATGATCTTGAACCAGTTTTTTTTTATAATTATAGATCGTTTTACTACATACTGAAACGCCTAAGTTATGCAATGTATCAATAGCTGCGGAAGATATTCCGGATGCTAAAAGATACAAGCCAACCTCTAGTTCAAAACTATTAACGAACATATTTCTTACATTTGCCATCATGTAACAAAAACTAACTACTGTTTTTTTTGCTTCTTGTTTTTTATAGGGGGATCTTTCATTAGGGATTAAAGCCTTAATCATTTGGTCAAAAAAACCACGCAAACGCGAATCAGCATTTTCTATCATCAATTGAAAATGAACTGGATTAAGTTTAATAAAACCAGGTCTATCATGCTAGTATTTATAAAGAACTTTTGTCAGAATTTGAACCTGGTCTGCAAATGCGAGACCATCATTAGGAGAAAACTTCTCATCACTATGTGTGACTGGTTTATCAAAATTTGCTTCGGGGTTTTTTTTTTGAATGACGATCAGGTTCTACTATATTCAAATAATGACTATAGTATATTTCCTGCTTGACCATCAGATTATCATAATGTTTCAATGTCCCTTTTTGTTGTGCCTTTTTATATGCGATATTTGTAATTTTTCTAAAAAGAGTAGAATTTCTACTGCAATTTTGTATGGAACAGGGGCCTTTATTTTTTTTTATAATGATGGGTAGATGGATGAAACCGGCAACATAAAAAAACCAGCGACAGGTAATAACACAAATGTAAATAATATAGGTAACAAAGTACCAGAAAAAAATTGTTTTATTATATGTATAAAAAATTTTTTTTAAAAAAATTTATATATATTAAGTGAAATGATATTGGCCAATCAGAATAAGCTTTCTATCATTGTCGATCATTCTGATTATATCCAATCAAAATGAATTTCTCTCATGCTCATTGTATGCTACCAAACAACAACAACTTGCAAACACGTGTAGCCATGTGCTACAAGTTAACATTTGTTGACATCTTCATTAGAGGATTATGTGAAGCTGTGCTCTGTTGGACGAGTAAGAAATAGACTTTTGACATTACAGAGATATATATATGAGTAGCAACAGTATATATAATTTTTAATGGTAGTGCTTGCCTTTGAGCTTGCTTTTG